TCTCTCTCTCTCTCGGTACATAATAATATACACGGATACGCGTGATAATCGAGAACGAGAGATCTTTTTCGTGGGCGCAAGGTCTGTGTCGCGCCTTATAACTTACCCTGTTTTTTACATTGCAGATAAAGTACTGGCCACCCTAGGAGAGGGTACTTTTGGAAAAGTTGTCAAGGTTAAGGACTTGCAAATGTAAGTGCCAGCTCACATAAACACCTACGTAGGTAACCTACTCGCGTCGTGTATATATATATATCCTTTAATTTTTGAAAAAAAAAAAAAAAACATGTCATTTTTATATATTTATATACACATACACACATGCATTAATACATTTCCACCTGCATATATTGTTTTTATTTTTTATTTTCTTTTGTTATAAATTTTCCTCTATTATATATCCATTCGCATGTTCGCGAGTTTACACATACATATACATATACATAGAGAGGACACGTGCACAGATTATATATGCATACAAGCATCACACGTATATGTCATCCCAAGTGGCGTATTGTACGTGGAAACACGAATTCACCTTTGGGATATCAGAAATAGACACGCTCTGTACTGTCGCGAGTAGTTGCAATAATAGGATGGCCTTGCACTTTGTTTTACCAGGCAACCATCGTCATACACGTTCTCTCTCTTTCTCTCTTTCTCTGTCAGTGGCGTCTTGCAAAAATTGTCGTGCTGGGTGAAAATTGAATGACGAAATTGCTTAGAGGGATGAGAAACTACAACACCTCCTCCACCACTCCTCTTACATCTCATCTTTTTTCATCTATCTCTAATTTTGTTTGTTTGTTTGTTTTTAATTATCTCGAGACTATCCAAAACACACACACACACACATATACATACATACAAAAATAAAAAACAAATAAAAATGAGACTTAGGAAAGAATTCGGCTCGATTTAGAGCATAACTATGGTCGGACGAAGTTCCAAAGGTTTTCGTTGTTTCCAACTAACACTTGGATTACTTTTTTTTTTTCTTCACACAGGGATCACGTAATGGCTCTCAAGATTATCAAGAACGTTGAGAAGTACCGTGAAGCTGCGAAGCTCGAGATCAACGCATTGGAGAAGATTGCCGCTAAGGATCCCGAGGGACATCAGTTAGTATTTGAAATGCAATTAAAAAAACCGACTACTACGAGGAGAGAAGGGCAACAGTGAAATCCTTTTTCTTTCTTATGAAACCCGCTACTTATTACTACTACCACTACTACTACTACTACTACTACTACTGCTAATAACTACCCGTTCGTTCGTTGAACAATTTGTTTTAATTTTGATTTTAATCTTACCTATGTTTTGCCCGTTTGTTTTAGTTTGTGTGTCAAAATGTTAGACTGGTTCAATTACCATGGACACATGTGTATCGCCTTCGAGATGCTTGGCTTGAGCGTTTTCGATTTTTTGGTAAATATATTTTAATATATTATATATATATATATAATAAAGTCGTCGAATAAAAAATATATTAATAATATTTTTTGACATAAATATATATATATATATATATATATATATATATATATATATGTATATACAATCTATCTTATTTGTTATTTTAACTGTGATCATTTCTTTTTTTTTTATTTTTCTAAAAAAAGAAAAATACGATGATGTTACAGAGAGACAACAATTATCAACCCTATCCATTGGAACATGTTAGGCATATGGGTTATCAGCTTTGCTATGCAGTCAAGTTTTTACACGACAACAAACTTACGCACACCGATCTTAAACCCGAAAATATCCTATTCGTAGATTCCGATTACGATAGCACGTACAATAATAAAAAGGTGAGTCATTTTTTAATGTTTTATTATATTATTTTTAGTTTCTTTTTTTTTTTTACCACTCATCTTTTTTGCGACGTTAACGAGAAAACGTTTTCACTGTCTCTCGATCCCCCGGTACGTACACAAAGATGATTTATTACTAAACTATTTTAAAAAGTTCTTTCTTTTTAAGCGAAAAGATGTAAGGCGCGTTAAAAGGACCGACATCAGACTAATCGATTTTGGCAGTGCTACGTTTGACCATGAACACCATAGCACAATTGTTAGTACAAGACATTATAGAGCACCTGAAGTCATTTTAGGTAATTAACATAAATATATGATAAAAATATTTGTCTTTTGTTTTTTTTTTTTTTTTTTTATATATATAATGACTCAATTTTAAAACTAAACATTAATTTCTTTTCTTACAGAATTAGGATGGGCTCAACCTTGTGATGTATGGTCTATTGGTTGCATTCTATTTGAATTGTACTTGGGTATAACTTTATTCCAAACTCACGATAATCGTGAACATTTAGCTATGATGGAACGTATACTAGGTACAATTCCACATCGTATGGCCCGAAAAACAAAGACGAAGTATTTCTATTACGGTAAATTAGATTGGGATGATAAAAGTTCGGCTGGCAGATATGTTCGCGATAATTGTAAACCTTTATACGTAAGTTTTTATATTTTATTTAATCGTAACGAGTTTCCTCGTTAATCCTTGAATCGCGTTAGTCCATTTGCATTATCGTATTACATAGCTTTTTCAAATGCATGACTAAATATCACCAACCACAAAGATGTATACTTAACAACCTACAATCGGCGGCCCGTATCTGTCGTTGTGCATAAAATTAAATTATTTTGTTTGAAAATTTTGCTTAGAAAGAAAAACATGAAAAAGGTTAACCTTAAAAGATAAAAATACCTGACATATAAAGTAACGAGACATTAGCGTTACAGCGTCAATAGAATACAGATATATGCATTGCGTACGTCATGTTCAAAGTTTTATTGAATTTTTTCCTCTCTTTTTTCTTTTTATTGTAAATACATATACGATAAATAGCACCAGTTAATGATACTCTCCAACAGCTTCGAATTCTATAATAAATTCGCGTACGGATTATTCCATATTCTGTGATAATTAATGACAGTCATTGTTTGCTTATTATTATTACCCTTGCATATGCAAATGGGTATTAACAAGACTTCAAATTTTATTGTTAGTGTATATATATATTTATATTCTTATTATTCGCTACAGCGTTATTTGTTGTCGGACGACGAGGAACATCGACAATTGTTCGATCTTATTAAAAGGATGTTGGAGTATGAACCATCGATAAGGATAGCATTAAAGGATGCTTTGCAACATCCATTTTTCGATGCGCTTCCGGCGCATCAAAGATTAACGGATCAACGTGCAGCCGGTGATTCACAACAAAGTCATGAACGATCGCATTCGCTCTCTCGATGAAGCTAGGAAAGGGACCGACTTCCGTACTGGACAGACACTATTAATAATATTAAGAAAATGAATAATAATAATAATAATAATAATAATAATAATANCAACGTGCAGCCGGTGATTCACAACAAAGTCATGAACGATCGCATTCGCTCTCTCGATGAAGCTAGGAAAGGGACCGACTTCCGTACTGGACAGATAATAATAATAATAATAATAATAATAATAATAATAATAATAATAATAATAATAATAATAATAATTATAATTATAATAATAATAATAATAGTCATAATAATAATATTATTAATATTAATAATTATAAAAAAAATAATCCACTCTCAACGATATTACTGCCCTACGTTCTAGTACTCGTTTTCTCTTTAATCCATTTTTGTTCGAGTCTTTCAACAATGACTGTTCTTAGTTGTTGTTATTGTTGTTGTTGTCGTCGTCGTCGTTGTCGTTGTTGTTGTTGCTCTACTCGAATAACTCGATGACACGTAGATAATTTTTATGCGCGGAAACATCTCGAATGTTGGAAAGGAAATGAAAGATAAAAGAAAGAAATAAAAAGGAAAGGACATTAAACAAAAAACTAAAAATCTCTTAAAAGCTGAATTGTTAATAATAATAATAATAATAATAATAATAATAATAATAATAATAATAATAATAATAATAATAATTCAGCGATATTATTCATATAGAGCCTACATAAGAATTGGTACTAGATAAAAATAGAAAACGAGTACTACTACTGCAGAGCGTGCATACCAGCAAAGGGATACAAAAGAAAAAAAAAAATAAATGATGGAAGGGTTATGCCAAATAGCGAAATTTGGTGGACTTGGTCGCGAGAGAACGTTGTTGTATGCGTGTGATAAATATATTTCGACGATTCGTAGGGCCTTTTTCACCGGGTCGATTTTGACGCGCGTTATATTATCTCGTGGTTTATTTCTCGGACCACCAATATAATATATAATATTAATAATAATAACAATAACGATTAAAATTAATAATAATAATAATTATAATACTGATAATAATATACTGCTAAATTTAAAACGCACCAAGATCCTTTTCTCTAACTTACTGGCATCCGAAGTCAGTCAGTCTGTTGTGCGTGTGCGTGTGCGTGTGTGTCTGCTCAGTCTAGCGTAACAGAGTCCCATAAATAATAAAATTGTAAAACACATTTTCTATAAAAAAAAAATGAAATGAAATGAAATGAAAAGAAAAGAAAAGAAAAAAAAAATTAAAAGGATTAAAAACCCTTCTGTACATTTTGCCTTTAATTTTATTATGATGTTATTATTACATAGAACAACAAAGTTTAGAGTTAAATAAAAAAAATAATCATTACTTGAGAGAGGGAGGGGGGGAGGGAAGGTCGTAGTTTATAATCTATTTGTTATGATGATCGTGACGAAATGTAGTAGTAAGTTTCGGATCCTTAGATTATAAGATCGTAGACAATTGCGTACGTGTTTGAATAAAAGAGAATATAGAAAAAGAAAGAAAGAAAGAAAGAAAGAAAAAGAGAGAATATATGTGTGTGTGTGTGTGTGTGAGAATGACGAGTGCAATTAGTAAAAAATTCAAATGAACGCCAATCCTCATTATCATGAAAATACATAAAACTTTATCGTTCAACTATCCAAATGATTATTATTATTTTATGTAATGCAATACTTTGAATTATTATATTGTTGTTATCATCTTGGGAGATCACATATATATATATATATAGATAAAACGTTTTATTCATTTCTTTGGTCAAACGTATGAAATTAGATTTCATTTTTCACGAAATTATTTGATTATTCGTGAATTTATAGACTACTCCACTTGCGTCTGAAAGGATAAATGAAACGTCATTTGTTCCTTAGTTGCTTCTATTGACGCAATACAAAAACGAGGATTTATCGTGTATATCAAATTTAATATAGCGTCCGTACCTCATTTGATGATACAATGTGTGAGATACATGTTATTATAGCGAAAGCATTTCTCGACTAGTGTTATGTCATCACTAGAAGTGATACTAACGCAAGTGTTTTCTCTTTTCTTCTTAATTATTATTATTATTATTATTATTACTATTATTATTATTATTATTATTATTATTATTATTATTATTGCTATTATTATTATAATTATAATTAAAATTAAAATTATAATTATAATTATAAATATAAATGCAAAAGAATTTTTAAGTTTAGCTGCTCTCATTACCACGATAGGAAGAGGGATGCCTAATTAACAGAAAGTAATGTTTCGATTAGTAATAAAAATACGTTTCTTCGAAGTAATCGAATTCGATGTTTTTATTATTCATTATTAGCTCTCTAAATACAATTATAACCATGTCAAAGAATAAGGATGATAATTTAAAAACAAAAAAATAGTACTAATTGTAAGTGTAAGTTTTATAAGTAAGTGTCCTTTTATCGAAAGACAAATTTCGATCGTTCTCCTTAATTTTTCTTTTCGTTTTTTTTTTTTTTACATAGTGATACTTTGTTGCCCGATCAACAGGCTTTTTTAACAATATATATATATAAGTAGCCAAATAATATAAATTTTAAATTATATACTTTCTCGAGAAACTTATCCGATATTAAGCGGGAACGCGTGAATTCTTACATTAGTAAATTAAGCTTATGGCCATTTATAAGTTGGTGGAATGGACGATTTATATTCTGTGTCGTATAACTGTGCTTTGATAAAGTCCGTGTAATCTTTAGGTTCCGGTAAAACAGTAGCCAGTGCTATAAAAAAAAAAATTATATGTTAATTTCCGTGGAAAAAAAAAGAAAACATAATAGTTATATTATATCGAGTATATTACTTACAAGATTTATAAGCGTATTCCATAATTTTCGTTGCTATACACAAGGAACATTGTTGTATATCGGCCAAAGGCGGATACAAAGTACCTCTGTCCAAATCTTCGTTCGTGACCAAACCGGATAGAGCTGTGGCAGCGATAAGGAACGTTTCTTCTGGAATAACTCTCATACCAGCGCAAATAGCAGCCAGTGCTACTCCAGGGAATATATAACTGTTATTTCCTTGGCCAGGATAGAAAGTTTTGTTATCGATTGTGACAGGTGGGAAAGGCGAGCCACTCGCAAACAAACACTTTCCCTATGCAAATCGTAAAATTATCATTGTAAGTGATTAATCAATCTGTGGTATCAATTCTGAGAAGAATAATCATGCGTTTATATATTACCATAGTAGCCTTGTAAGCTTGCTCAGCCGTACACTCGGCTTTATCGGTAGGATTACTCAAAGCAAAGATGATTGGTCTGTCGCTATTGCGTGCCATTTCTTTTAATATTTCTTCGTTAAAGGCAGATCCTACTGCTGATGCCCCAATCAATACAGTTGGTTTAGCTGTTTTAACAACATCTAATAATTTGTCAATAGGTTCACATTCCCTGGCAAATTCTAATTTGTGTTCCGTAACTCCACCACTTGGACGATTCTTAACGACCAATCCTTTCGAGTCTACCAACCAGATTTTGTTCTTTGCTTCCTCTTTGCTCACACCTTCCTTCTGCATCGCCATTACGCATAACGTAGCGATGCCTAACGAAGCCTAATTGTCAAGTCATCCCAGGTATTAAGATAATAACTACTATTCATCTTAATAATCCGTAACATTTGTATCAGTTTCATTCAATTATAAATACGAACCTCTCCCGCTCCAAAGAAAACAATGGTATTTTCGGAAAGCTTCGTATTCGTCACACGAAGGGATGCTAACAGACCAGATAATGCAACCGAAGCTGTACCTTGTATATCATCGTTAAAAGTGCAGTAATGATCGCGATATTTGATCAATAATCTGAAAGCATTGGCATTTCCAAAATCTTCAAATTGTATCAAGGTATTTTGTCCGTAACGTTTTACCACAGCTTTCATAAATTCTTCCACAAATTCGTCGTATTCTTGACCGGTGACACGCTTATGTCTGTGTCCAATGTAAAGAGGATCGTCCAACAATGACTGAAAATCATTTCATCTCATTATTATTTAATATTTCTTTTTTAGATATTAAAATATAATTCATAAATACAATAAATCATATTAAAATCGTTACCTGAGTGTTGGTACCAACATCAAGAGTTATAGGAAGACAATTGTGTGGTTTAATACCAGCCAAGGCCGTATAAAGAGCTAACTTTCCTACTGGTATTCCCATACCGTGTGCTCCTAAATCACCAAGTCCAAGTATCCTTTCTCCATCGGTAACAACGATAGCACGTACGTCATGTTCAGGCCAGTTTTTCAAGATGTCATAAACGTATCCCTTGTCGTGTATACTTATGAACAAGCCACGAGGTCTACGATAAATCAAACCAAATTTTTGACAAGCTAGACCTACTGTTGGCGTGTATACCAATGGCATCATCTGTTCAACGTTGTCCATGAGTAAACGATAAAACAATTTTTCGTTTCTATCCTAAAATAACGAATAATTAATTTTTTATAGTAATCATTGAAATATCGTTTTAATCGTATAATATATCTGTGTGATTAATTATTTTCAAACGAATATATAAATACCAATAGGCCTATGAGGTAGATATATTTAAGAAGGTCATCAGGATAACGTTCCAAATTCAAACGACAAAGTTCCAATTGTTCCTCTTGAATCATCACAGCAGCCGGTAAAAGACCATGAATACCAAGCAGTTGTCTTTCTTCTATACTAAATGCCATTCCCTGGAAATAAATTATTTGATTTTTTTTCTTCTGATCAATAATTCCATACTTTTCATAAAGTGATAATAATAATAATAATATTACAATTTGTTTAAAGAGAGTACAAAATATTCGAGTCAATCAACAACAAAAAATTAAAATTTATTATTCGTCGACCCAGTTAACGGGTTTCATAAATTCGTTCTTATGGAAAGAAGAAAATTATGTTCCATTCGTGATTGTCGTCATTATTCAACCTCGAGGCATGCACGAAGTAACTTCCTTTCGAAAGGATTATCCTTAGGGTATACACTTTACGCGATTACAAAAATGTTACTAATCGATTCTAGAAATAAATTATGCAACATTTCTCAAATGTCTTATCTGATGGGGATATATTCTTTAATATTGATGTATAGTGACTATGCGATGACGTAATATTTAGAATGAGTCATTTTAATTGAAAAGGTTTTAATATCTCGAGTGTTAAAAAAAAAAAATATATATATATAAT